CTCTACACCAAAAAATCCGAACAAACGAAGTGGTTAAGAAAGTGAAGACCAAATCAAGTTACAATATCTTAGTTGATAAAAGATAAAGTGGAGAGTAACTGGATATAAAGAAAGACTCGAGTGATCCTCCAATAAACAGGTCGAGGTAGAGGTAGAGGTAGAGTTCGAGGTACAATTCCAATTGGTCCAAGTCCTTAGAGAAACTCAAATTTATTGGTTCAAGATCATTATGGTTATTTTGGGTTTTCATTTGACTCGGTAGAAATTGATTTTACTAATATCTATGTCTACTAAACTTGCAGCTTATGAGAGGAACGAAAATTAAAATGCATGTTCCTTAAAAATGTGTCTGAAAGAATTCTGTAATGCTATATACCTGAGATTATGTCCCATAGGGACCGACAACATCTGCAGACTCAGCCACGTCAAAGTACCAAAGATTCTCATTTGATCATCAACATGTCGACCAGGGAAAATATTGTCAAATTTCACAAACTTTATGTAAATTATGCGTCGTGTGTCAGCATGTTTGGTGATACACGACCCGGTACTCATAGTAAGGTCGTGAGTTCGGAGTTTTTCTCATTAAACGACACCGGTGAAGATCAAACAAGTGTCGTCGTCATATCTGTTCACCGAAACTCTCCTGTGCCGAGGATTAAAGGTATTTAAAGCAAGAATTTATGGAGTATTGGTGACTTACAATATGTCGCGAGGAAGACACTCGGTGGCTGGAAGCTGCACACACAGTAGTGGTCTGGTTATACAGGAATTTAGGTAATCAGAAGCTTTGTAAGATGAACTTGTAGCAACAAAGGCCTGGGTCCTGCCAGACACTCGTATCGGGGAGTGTGTTGGCCTGGTGGCGAGTGTGTCGGCCCCTCGGCAACTCTCGGGGTTGTGTCGGAGCCCCAGCAAGAGGGAGATTGATGAAGACGTCCTGTTTGTCGCTCTCTGCTGGAATTCGTCTTCTATTTTTCTAAATCATGGCTGAGAGAAAACTGTGAGAAGAAATACTAGTTTAGATGTCAGACGTTCAGCCGGAGGGTCTTGGCCACGTCTTGACAGTCTTTGTAAAAACAAAAACAAAAAAGGTGTGTGGTGATCACGCATCATGTCACCGTCCTTCATCTGGGCCGCTGTGTGCAACAAAAATCATCAAAAGGAATGTAGTCAGTGGTCTGGCACGCTGTCAATACAGCTGTTTCTCTATTCATGAGGCCGGTGCTCTTGCTCTCCACCTCGCCCACCACCTTACCCGTCGACGTCGCCTGCGGATGTTTGAAATAATCTGGCGACAAAGTGTAACTGTGTGCTCAGTGCACCTTTGAAGTATCTCTTCCTCTGGCTGCTCTGCTGGGGATTGTGCTGCGCGCTGAGCAAACGCTAAGTCGGTGTGAGAGAGCAAACAGTGGGTGTTGAAAGGTCGTGGGTGTTGCTGCAGAAGGACGTTTCAATGCCCCCTCCGTCGCCAGTGCTCTGGCAGATACGAAGACCTGCCCGTGGAGGGCTAGTAAAAAAAAAAAATCATTAAATATTGAACACCACTTGGCTGGCTGGCGCCCCGGAACCAAATGATGCGTCGGCCCCGTGAACTTGCGATTCATTGAGAGGCCATTTATCTTGAATTTATCTTGGGTCCTCACGGTGGGTCGGGTGCATTCACGGCGCCCTCGGGGTTATCATCCACCCCCTCTTGCTCCTCCCTGGTGGGGCCTGACGGCGTTAAGCAATACATAGAGTGTTTTGACGCGTCGGGTGTGTGGCCACAGGGGGAGGCCACGCGAGGCCATTGAGGAGGTGGGCTGGGGAGAGAAGGGGCGGGGAGCGATTTTCACACATAGGTCTTACGTACAGTCGAGAGAGACATGCTGGTGTTTACATTGTGGAGGCGCCATTGCCCAGACCCTCTATTTACTCCTCCGTTATTCACTAGTTACAAGTGCCGCCCTCCTTCCCGGGCCACAGTGAGACGCCCGGATGGTGGCACCCACTGGCACTTGTTGGTCTGAATGGCTTTCCTGGGGTGCAGTTGGCTGAATGGACTTACTGTTTACCATTGCTGGTGTGTCTGCACTGTCTGTCTCTGTATTCAGCCAATGTGAACATGCATGACGATTTTTCCGAATAAGTATCTATCTATCTCTCTCTCTCTCTCTCTCTCTCTCTCTCTCTCTCTCTCTCTCTCTCTCTCTCTCTCTCTCTTTGGTTACTATATGCAGTTTATAACATCACTACATTACGGCTCCATCACCCTTAGTCTTTTATTAATTATTGTATTGCATTGTATTTTTTATCTATGATACTGTCAGATATATCTGTCTCTCATTCCCATTATACACCCTAACGTTTTACTTGGAGGTTAGGTTAGGTTAGGTTAGGTTAGGTTAGGTTAGGTTAGGTTAGGTTAGGTTAGGTTAGGATAGGTTAGGATAGGTTAGGTTAGGTTAGGTAAGTGTTAGGTAAGTGTTAGGTTAGGTTAGGTTAGGATAACGCTCGGGTGTTTAATTATCACGTGCAATATGGCGGAGTGTCTAATCATCATGTGATCCGCTGTTCAGTTCATAGAGAAAACAAGTTGAGGCAGACAAGGTAAGTTATCTTAGTTTATATATAAGTAACGTAAACATAGATCGAGTGTCATTGGTTTGTGTCTCACGTAGTCCTAATATAATTTAAACCAGTTCCCCCATGACTACATTTTATCAGAACAACTTGAGAGATTCGTTTGGAGTGTTTGAACATATTATGATCATTTTTGTTTTCCTTTTTCGTTATTTCATCATTTCTTTTTCCTTTTTCGTTATATCATAATTTTTTTTTTACATTAATAAGAGGCCGCACCACACAGCTGAAGCAGAGGAGGGCAGTTACTCAGAAGGAAGGAGACAAGAGTGACAGTAAAGAACAAAGTCTTCTAAGGTTCAACTAACAATGTCAGCTGTAAATCATTTTGAGAATCCGGCTTCAAATCAACAAAAATAAAGTGTGTTAATATGGAGTTATCAATCCTTTATACAAGTTTAATGGTAGAAGAGGAGGAAGCTTTCGGGGTACAGGGAGGGATGATATAAAGACTTGTATTGCTTTAGAGGGACACTGAATATAAAGGGGAGGTGTGGAAAGAGTTATATACAGAGGAGAAGATTGAAAACGTAGTCAGAGGAAGTGTAAATACAGTACTGAAATTATAGAGCATTAGGTGATAGTTTAGGAGGCACTGAGAATGTAAGGGAGCGTTGAGGGAGCGACTATGTGCTTGCGTGAACACTAAAAAACGCAGGGAGTGGTGAGGGAAGTATACAGAAATGGTAATTCTTCGGATCGCCTGAAGAATCTCCACCACAGCTTATTTGACCTAAATCTTAACCACTCTAATATTATATGGGGGGGGGGGTGAGGTTAGGTTAGCGTTAGGGTAGTTAATCTTTAGGCAAATTGGTGGAGATTCTAGAGATATACTGAAAATACAGGAGAGGAGGATGCAACCTTAAAACTGCTCATGGGAGGATGAAAAGAAAATAGGCAAGGGAGAGGGGGCAAGCACCCAGACTGACTGTTTAAGGGTGACAGTGGAAATACAAGTGGGAAGGTAAGCTAGTGAACACAATGTGAACATTAAATACTCTTATTTATACAGTGCCTTGATTTTTCTTGTTAGATATAGTCTGTGTATATACATACACATATAATCAACGACCTCACCAGCCAGGACTCGAACCCTCGACCTTATGAGTGTGACTAGGGAACGCTACCAACTATGCCACAAGGACACTAAAAGCAATCCCAGACTTTGTAACCTTGATAGTCTAGGATTGCTTTTAGTGTCCTTGTGGCATAGTTGGTAGCGTTCCCTAGTCACACTCATAAGGTCGAGGGTTCGAGTCCTGGCTGGTGAGGTCGTTGATTATATGTTCAAGTCCGCGTGTTATATGGACTAAAAATGATATATATATATATATATATATATATATATATATATATATATATATATATATATATATTCAGGGAATCTATTTCAATGCACACTAATAACGTAAATTTCGAGTGATTATTCTCCACGTGTTTCTCTGTATAAAAAGATAAGATTATCCTTCACCTTGCTGGAAAAACAGAGTGCCTGTTAAAAAAAATAACAAAAAACCTGTGAAGTCAAGTTAACTCTTAAGTTATGTAATAAATATTTTGGCTTTACTTAATAGTACACTGAAAAGTATATTAATTTGACTTAATAAAGGCTGTTTTGATAAGCATTTCCAAAATACCGGTTACCCATACAATTATTGTAGTTTCCCTTAGGAAGACCATTTTCTCTGTTACGAAATTTTTTTTAACGTAGACTCTCATATAAATATTAAAGTCAATATAAACTTCCTGTACACTTTTCACTTCGATATAGAAGCTTCTTGTATACTTTAAAATATTAAATTCCATCTCTTGGAGTAATATGATTATGTAATTATTGTAAAATGAGTTTATCTGTGTGTATTGAATAATTTTAATACAGTATAAGGATATGAAAAAAAACCTTAAATTGAAAAAAATTAAATTATTGTATATATTTGGAAGATTTTATATAATAAGGTTAAGAAAATCATCAACAATATATTCTCTTGTTGTTAGTGATGTCCTTATTACGGGCATCACTAACAACAAGAATTCCCGCTGCATCTGTATTTCATCTAGGGATGCTTTAAAAGACAATACATTCACCAGACTTAAATAAAAGAGCTGAGAATAAAAGTAGAGTAAAGTAAAGTAAAGTAAAGTAAAGTTGATGTTTTTAATGGTATTATCAAAATTCATCTTCCCTCCAATATTTCCGGCTTATATAATATATAAATACATTACAATATTTATATAATTTATTTTATATGTAATGAAATTCGATAAATATATGATTATTATATAAATTTTCCGTGTTTTATTTATTTACTTTTTTATGGCATAAGAAAGTACAGTGGGTATTATTTATATTTTTATGACCCGTATTTAAAGACAATAACAACCCTGATGGTAATTGACATCCTCAGTTGGTCATCATTAATTCTCCTTTACCTTCACTTATAACCATATGAGGAAGATATCAGCATTGTAATCACCTCTAATATAATGATGACTGCTGAGGATTACCCTGTTGTAGACCGCTTGGAGGAGATCTGGAGGACAGGACAAGAGCTGGGACTGTCACAAGCCCAGATCCATCATGTATTTGACTCTGTATTTAACGAGGAAAAAGAAAAGGAAGCTATTATATCAAAGAGCCATGGATCTACGGATTATAAAAGAACAATACAAGATATCGCAAGAATGATCACCAGTTACCTGAAAATTTTTACTAAATTCCTTGTGTTTTTGACTGCTGTTTGTATTGTGGTTTTTATAGTCATATCTTTACATAACCCAACAAGAAAATTAGTGACACGTAATATTCAAGATGTGATCTACCCGTTTATGACAACTCTGAGATATCTGACGTTACCCATCCTCACAAGATACCCACACCTAAGTCAGTGGTATTCGGAAGAGTGTTTGGTGCCAAATGTGTTTTATGACCAGCCAAGTATTGACTGTATGCCTTGTAGTAAAGACCCTCAACCCATTAAAACTGCTGGCTTACAAAATTTTACAGATATGTATTATAATAATGGACGAATTATAATTGTTACTGATGCCATGCTTCAAAATATGACCTGGGGAGATTTAACAAAAGAGCTGGACATCAAACAAGAATTTGAAATTGGTGCTTTTAAATATTTTTCTGAGACCAACACCTCTATGGAAGCTTTGCGGTGGTTTGTAAAAGAAGAAACAATTAATAGTGATGATCACATTGAGTGGAGAATTAATAGGCTAGAAACTTTGCACGTTGTTCGTCAAATCTTTCCACGGATGTATTTTATTCCATCGGAAACTGAGGTTGCTCTCCATCGATTTGTGTATGTAGATGGGCCTGAGGCTGACTCATATCCATTACCACTAACAGAGTTTGCCAATGTTGTACTCATACAAGGAGAAGGGAAAAGTGTGTTGACCCTGTCTCCATCCAGTCATTGTCAAGATATCTGTAATTCAGTCACTGTCACACTAGATACCACACACGTCTTGTTCTTTAACTGGATTTATTGGAGACCAGTTAGAGTTGGAGGTGAAAGTATTTCAACACTTGCTATGAGTTCATTTTATTGAGTACTCAGACCCTAATAAATAAAAGCATATTGCTCACATAATTTTATGATAATATACAGTAATTACATACCCAAAATACTACCACAAGTATTAGTATAAAGGCTAGTCATATTGAATACACTTATGTGTTCTTACAGTTATGATTGTCTGAGATCAGTTTTGTTTTAATGTTTGAATCACAATTTTAACCTTTACAGTATACTCGTACATCCTGTAAGAAGGTAATATTGATGTATACTTCTGATTAATTCAATTGTATTGTTATACTAGTCCACATTTTTAACTACAGTACTGTAGTCATGTTTTTAATGTCTGTCATGGCATTGTTGTAAGTAGAAAAAAGTCCATACATGAAATATAATTTAAGAGTTTTTGTATTTGTATTTATTTCCTTGGCTGATATAATGTAAGAAATTTATTGTTTTCAACTGGAAATGGAGAGAATATTTTTATTACATTAAAGGTTGAAACATAAAGACTAACCTAATAAGCTTTTTGTTAATTATTTTTACTCATCCATTTTCAAAATTAGGTTGGCCATTGGTGTATTCGACAGGTTGTGGATTCAAGAACAGAATTAGGTTTCAAAATATCCCTGGACGAAATTACCAAGAATTATGGAGCTGATCAGTGGCACAGTGGATAAAAGTAAAAGCAACTATCCATAAAATAAGTTGGTATTCATTGTTATAAGACATCTTATGTAAAATCAGTCAAATCTTTTATAATCAACTACCAAGGGAGTTTTAGATAGAATAGATTTAATCTTTGATTAGTTTGCATTCTGTACATTCAATTTTAAAAGATTAGTGTTAAGAGCTATTTATCAACTGATGACAATGTTTATGCAGCCGGAAATTTATCCAGTTTCTTCAAATAACTGATTAATATTTTTCAGGTAAATAGTACCAAAGATGTCATTCACCTCGTATGGTCATTGTTGGTGGTTGTTTTGGCAAGTGCTGTACTGTACTGTATTAGCTTTATCAAAGGCTTGACTACCTTTATGGGGCAGTGCATTGTGGCACTGGACTGCTTTCACTAACAAACTGACGTCTGGTACCCATCCACTGCTGGGTCAACTAGGGGTTCCTGGGTAAGAACCAGATCTTTAAAATGGGCAAAAGGGTTGTATCCATTCTCCTGCTACACCATTTATATAAAGGTAGTGTACAATAAATTTAATTACAGTATAATCATTTCACTTGCCCGCATTCTAGCTGTTTGGGTGATTAGTCTATTCTTTGTTAGTTAGTGTCAAGTATAAGCACCCAGACAAAACCTGTAATGTTTGGTGGAGTGTCTCATCTGACCCAGGCTTGGGATAGAACTCAAAGCAGTAGTGAGAGATGTGCAAATTACCTCTTTTCCACCAACACCCTAACATTTTGTACAGGAAGTTCTATTTCAGAGCTTGGAAAATGGGAGATTCTGTTAGTTCAATTTTTCTTGCCAAGGGATAACCCATCTATTGGCCTGGACTTACCAGTAGACTGTTTTGTTTAAAATTGTTTAGACAAACAGTTTAATGTTGGTTTTGCTTAAGTATCAAAAACTATTCTATACATTTAAGACCCACAAGAATTAAATAGGTTCATTTGTCCTAGCAGCCAGCCAGATGCTGCTTGTCACATGGCTCCTGTAAGTTAACAATGCTGGTTATTACAGGATTTGGAAGCCTTGTTTGGAACATTAGTACCCTGTACTTTCCATGGCTAATTAAATAGTCTGGGAGAAAATGTTTAAATGGATAGTACAACAAAGTATACAGGCATGGCAGACTGACAGTGTGAGGATATTGTGGAGGTGGAATCTTAAATCTGGGTAAGTTTTTACGATTAGAAATGTTGGCAGGTGTTCATAGTTAAACTAAGAATACAGGAAACAAGTTGAATTTATCTTTGTGTAAAATTGTTTGTGATCCAAAATTTGGAAATAGAATTGCGAGAATATGGAAGGATGTTTCACCTCGGTGAAACATGTACAATGTACAAGTACATTAAATTATATGAACAGAGAATAATCGTACCATTTAAATATTAAATACCGATTGAACATTGATTACAGTACAATAAAGCTTTACCTTTACTTTTATCTTCTTCACCATTGATCGGCTAGTTAGCTGCAGGAGCGGTTGGTCACGTCTCTGTTACGCACTGTTGGCAAGTACTGTACTGTACATGTACAGCTCCTCCCCAACTTACGACGGAGTTAGGGACCCAAATCCAGGTCGTAAGTCGAAAATGCTTAAATAATACACAGAAAATCTAAAATGGGTGTCTCTTTTTCTTCTCAGCACCACAAAACTCTCACTTTTAAGCTTGCCAGCCATTTTAAAGTGAATTACAAACGAAAATTTTGTCCGAGTACTGACTTTGGGACTCGAAAATACGTAAATTGACAAAATTTTGGTACAACTGAGGCAGGTCGTAAGTGTGGGTGGTCGTAAGTCGGGGAGGAGCTGTATAATCAATTATCCAAATTGACTACTGTACAAGTACTCAGATTAAAACTGTGTTGATAAGTGGATACTAATTTGATCTCATTTATGACTAAATTCACCAGCTTCATTTGAATGCTTCTTTGTACCTTTCTGATTTATGTTTTGCCTATTTGTTTAATATTGCTTGTAATTATGTTTTCTTTATTTTTTACAATGAAATGACCCTTTTATTTTTTTATATAATTGATAAAAGACTAGTTACTGATAGATGTATGATAAATGGTCTAAAAATGGTATCATTTTCTGATAATTGGTTCTTTTCATTTTGGATAATTGACAAATGGGCTATTTTACTTTTTGATACTATAATTGGGATTAGGATCCACCCCTTGCCCCCCTCCCCAGAGTCAAAGTGATACAGTAAAGTATTTGTATGTAAAATTAAAAAAAAGTAAAATTCTGGATAAATCTAGCTATAGTATGTGATCTAGGGCTGTCTGACCCCTGGCCCTACACTGTACCACAGTACGGATACGGGAGATTAGGGACTAAAAATGTAGGGAGATGAGAGATTGGGTGTCATCTCCCCCCCTCAACAGAGGCCTACATTTACTCCCCTTCCTACATACATTATCCAAGACAGAATATGCTCATTATCCTAGACAGAATATGCTCATTATCCTAGACAGAATATGCTCATTATCCTAGACAGAATATGCTCATTATCCTAGACAGAATATGCTCATTATCCTAGACAGAATATGCTCATTATCCTAGACAGAATATGCTCATTATCCAAGACAGAATATCCTCATTATCCTAGACAGAATATGCTCATTATCCTAGACAGAATATGCTCATTATCCTAGACAGAATATGCTCAGGTCAAGGGTTAGAGAATAATAGCTTTATTGAAATCATATCTGAAACCATCCACCTAATATAACGTTGGTTATTGTGTTTATATTTTGTGGTATGCCTTACAGTAATTTGCAGACCGGTAAATATTTATCAAGCCTATACAGTAAATAGATATTTAATAGTGACAGTCTGGCTGCACTGACTCCCGAGACCTGACATGCGCAATGGGCTTGTTAATGTTATTAAACTGAGTTAATGGTGGTTTTATTTTGACAAATTATTTATAATAACCTAAAATATTTATGACCAAGTCATATACAGTACTGTATATCCGTGTTAGAAATATTAATGGGTGTTGGTGGAACAGTGAGCAGTGCATCTCCAACAACAGTGATCCTGGGTTTGAGTCCCACCGAGACACAGGTGGAAAGGCATATCCAGTGTAAGAGGATGCACCTTGGTCATACCGACAGTAAGGAGTCGTGTCGCATGTCCCAACGGAACGAAGAAACAGCACTAATAGAGACCGAATGTGAAAAGGACCTGACTGTGTATAATGACAACGAATTAAAGTTCTCGGACAATTGTGAGAAGGTGAATCAAGCAACTACATTAGTAGGTCTTATAAGGTGCTTCCCCGTCTGGAGTACCAGACTGGTGCCTGCGCTACGGCATCCCAGTTACCCAGAAAGATTAGAGAGGCTGCAACTGTCTAACTTATTATAAGTTAGGCAGTTACTTATACTACAGAAGGGCAAGGGGTGACCTATTTGAAATTTATAAATATCCCATAGGGCACTTCTCAGTTGAGCGTCCATCCCTGCCCACAAGGGGTCACAAGAACACAGGGTTGAAGAAGCCTCAAGTTCAGAAAACTGAGGGTAAACTTTTTCGGGGTGAGAAGTGTAAGCTCTTGGAACAATCTGCCAGAGAATGTTGTGACAAGTCCGAGTGTGAGGTCTTTCAAGGCCAACACTGGCGCAGATACAGATACATTGTGGACTGGAGCCAGTACATGTCCAATACTTGTCAACAGTGCGTATTAGCGTAACAGAAACGTGGCCGACCGCCCACGCAGATAACGAGCCGATCAGTGGCAAAGATGATAAAGAACAGTAAAAGTAAATAACTGTGATAAATTTATGTATATGTTGTTTCAAAGCAGATACAGTAACAGGACAATATATAGAAGCAGGCATTCAGAAGAATCAAATAAAACAATAGTGTTGTGATTCCTAAACAAGGAATTGTATATTTAAAAAAATAATAATATACTCCTTCCGTAGAGTTGTATCTTTACAAATACAATACTGCTGTTACTGCACATGAAAAAATGGAATGGAAATCGTTATAATCATATGTATAAGCTTATACAGTTAAAGAATTGTCCTGGATATCCATTTCGATGTCATCAAATTGTAGTACATCGTATTCTTATTTTATATATATATATATATATATATATATATATATATATATATATATATATATATATATATATATATATATATATATATATATATGTATGTATGTATGTATGTATGTATGTATGTATGTATGTATGTATGTATGTATGTATGTATGTATGTATGTATGTATGTATGTATGTATGTATGTATGTATGTATGTATGTATGTATATGTATGTATGTATGTATGTATGTATGTATGTATGTATGTATGTATGTATGTATGTATGTATATATATATATATATATATATATATATATATATATATATATATATATATATATATATATATATATATATATATATACTGTGTATATATATATATATATATAATATTGTTACTTGAAGTAAGGAAGTTATTAATATAAGCTACAACAAAGAGTTTACTAAAATTTTCAAGAAACTCTTGTGATGAAGTTTAATTCCACTGTATGATAAGTTCAGTTCGTTACTGGTGGACGAGGAAGGCAGGACATGACAGCATTATAACCACCCTGGTGTGTGAGGAGGGTCACGGCAGACACCCCCGGGTGTGTGAGGAGACACCCCCGCCAAGTGATTCCCATCTGACGTTCCTGAGAAGAACCGGAATGGCTCGCTGTGAAAATAATTAACAATTATTAGAATCTCTGTGCTAACCACTTTTCTTACCAAATATCATGAAATTTATTTTTTATGTACATACTACTATTATTTTATGAGCTGACGTAGTAATATGATATAAAGAAGATTTAGTATTTGGGACAGGAACTACCACACGGTTGAAATAACATGTAAACATGGCAGACGAAGTTTGCACAATGCAATGAGAAAGAACAACTAAGCCAACGTTTCGCCTTTTACATGAGATGAAAACTGCTAGTCAGCTCCTAAGGTGGGTCTCACATAATGTAGCTCTGTTTCTAAGGAAGTGTCACGAGGGAAGTAGCGGTAAAGGAATGGTGAAGAAAGTTGATACAGCTGCCATCACCATTACCTTCACTCGCTTCATCTAGGTCTAACGTTTGGAGCTGTTGTACAAATATTTCCCGGGTTATTAACACATTAACTTATGCATTAATTGTATTGGGTGAAAACTGATGGAATGGCAGCTTTCAAAGACAAATAAAGGTTATCATATTGACAAGATCACTGCTGTAATGAACCAACATGACTGTACCCTCTGATGCCTCCCTGGAAGCTCATAGTATGGACTTAACCGTGTTAGATCATATTTACTCCGTCTTAGACTTGTTAAAGAATAATATTACTAGCATATTTCATGATTGATTTGTGCTTTAACTCAATGAAAGTGAAGCATATTGAAAGGTTTGTTGGGCCTTTAAGTGAAGTGTTAAGATATATCATTATCATTCAGAGCCAATACTACTAGATTTGGCAAATTTTGAGGTAATTTCTGAGAACTGCTGCTACCAGAAGGAGTTGTTCGATTTTGTTCATTTTAAATGAAATGGCAACTTTTTATTTTAATTATAAGTAGTTTTCTGTTTTTCTCTGTGTTCCATCATAAATCACCTGTAGTGGGCAGGACATGAAGGATGAGGGAAATTGCAAGGGAAAACAGTGAAAAACTAAACATATGACACTAAATTGATGTCTCTACATGCTTTGTAGGGAAAAAGATAGTTATTTATCGTAATTACTTCTCCAAAAAATTTGTCGGATCACCGTGTATTGTCGTCTGCTCACTTTGTTTACAATTGACTCCCTTGGTCCGAGCATACTCTCATGTCTACAAAAAATGTATAAATTACAGCATCAAGCTTTAACAAAGTTGCTTTAATTGGTACCAGATATAAAATATAAGTACTTACTGTTTAATATGGCAGGGGTCTGTCCCTCAGCTGGGTAGTTAGGTAGGTAGGTTTCTTTGGTTGGTTAGGTCTGGTTCTATTGGATTTTAGTAAATGTCGCCTCATTTAAAATACTTAGCTACTGTAGTGATAAGAACATCGCTGGGAAAAATTAACGAAAGCAAACAACTTATGGTGGTAGTGCTGTTCTCAGTCATTACCAATTTTTCAAACAGCCATATAAAGTTAGAAAACATTTTGCTAGAATCTGATTTAGTTTAGTGATAACTTTTAATTCTGTCGAGGTGTGAGCGAGTGGAACCAACAGCTCACTGTAAGCACTTTAGCAGAGATCAGTGATTATTTATTTTCACTTATTGTAGCCAATTGATATGTCATTGAATACACCCTGTACACAAATCAGCTGCTTCACACATGGATTGCCTGTACAGATAATCACCCAAACATTAAAAGTAGGTTTTTATCTCTTTCTTCTGTTCTTAAAGCAATTCTGTGCAAGGCACTAGCTATTCTGGAACACCGGTTCAGGTTGAGCAGGAACTTTAAAAAACTTTTCTGTGGAAGATCAATTCTTTCTTACCTCAACAATATTCTTTAAAATGAAATATATTTGTAATTTTTGTATTTCTATTCTTCCATAATTCTCATTAAGAATAAATCTGCTCTGTCGACCCAGTGTCATGTACTGTATGGCTAGTGCTATGTTGACAAATATTTCCTAATTACCTTTTCATACTTTACTTAATCAAACTTACCAACCTAAAGAATCCTACTTACCAATAGTGAGAAACGATATATGTATGTTGTGTTGTCAAAGTAAGAGAGACAATTGAAACCCTGCAATTGTGTGTAAATGAGGCAGAAAGTCAAATTTTTGTGATGCCATATGGCAGCAGGGTCTACCATTAAACAATACATTATGCTTCCAATATCTTCAAAAAGCAATTTTCTACCTATCATCTACATGCATTTCAGTAAAGCTTCTATTAATGATAAGTTTTTGTTTGTCATACAGGGAGGCTGAGGGTCTGAAGAGTCGTCTGAATAATTGTATCCCACTCGTGGGTAACAATGAGGCTTGGGCTGTCCAACACCAACTTCAGGTTTGTTGCTACAATCACTGTTTAATGTTGGCAAGGGGTGAAATACTTCTATAAATTGTGATGTTTTAGAAAATATTGTATCTTGAAGGGTCTTCTCTTATAGTGGAGTAGTTCTTGACATTCTCCAGGGGAAGGGCCCAAAATTACTTGTTCTAGTACATCAGAGCCAAGAAAAATGGATACTGTATATTGGACCATCTTTTAAAAGTAATTTCTCTGTTAGCCAGAATTCTCCTATGCCTGGAATTGAAATGTGCTCGGAATTTTTCCTGAAAAATTATCTCAATTCCGGGTCTGTGAACGAGTTTCTGAGGTTGAAAATCAGGTGCATTTCACGGAAAATTCTGAGAAAAATTCTAGAAACTCTCTTATTTTGTTCTGAGTCTGGGAGCAAATTCCAAGGATGAAATAGTGTGCAATTTTCAGTAAATTCCGAGAAATTGTTCCCAGTACAGTACCCAGAAAAATTCCTGGGTTTGAGAGAGTCATCTCTCATCCCTGGAAGAGGCCTGCACCAATTGTTCTGGCTAACGGAGATATAACTTGTACAGTGGTCACTCGATTAACGAACACAATTGGTTCCACAGAGTCGTTCGTTAACTGAAAATTTTGTTAACTGAATCTATTATTTCAATGGGATACTGTATTGGGTAATTGGTTCCAACTCAGAAAAAGTATACTGTACATACAAAGTACTGTATAACGGTAATAGAATTAACTAAACATTAAATGTAAATTAAATATAAACTAAATACAGTACTGTACTGTACAGTATACTGTATAATAATAATAAAAAACAATAGAATACTATATTTTAACTTATTTTGAGGTGTGTATGTCGTATTCCCGGCAGCTTTGTTTACATATCAAACAGCTGATTGTAGAGGCAGTCGATGATGACATGCCATATTCTTTACAGAGTGCATTGGTTCTAATACCTTCTTCATGTTTCCTAATAATTTCTGCTTTGTATATTATCAATATGTGAACTAAATTTCAGAATGACCAATAATTATAATGTAAAAATGCAAAAATATTCATGAGACAAACAAACTGGATGTTCACTCCACTGTAAACAAAGTTAAACTGAGAAGCGTTGGTGGGCGAGTCGATCAGCTGATTGGCACACAAAAACTGTTCCCTGTACTTTATATATTATCAAGATGTTAACTAAATTAGAATGACCAATAATTTTAATATAATAAATGCAAAAATATTCAAGAGCACAACTTTCTTGATATTTACAGCTCCTCCCCGACTTACGACGGGGCTAGGGACCCAAATCCAGGTTGTAAGTCGAATTGGTCATAAGTCGGAAATGCTTAAATAATACATAGAAATCTAAAATGGGTGTCTCTTTTTCTTTTCAGCACCACAAAACACTCATTTTTAAGCTTGCCAGCCATTTTAAAGTGAATTACAAACACAAATTTTGTCTGTGTGCTGACTTTGGGACTCGAAAATACATAATTTGACCAAATTTTGGTACGGCTGAGGCAGGTCGTAAGTGCTGGTGGTCGTAATTCGAGTAGGTCGTAAGTCGGGGAGGAGCTGTACTCCACTGGAAACGAATGTAAACATAGAACCAATTACTGTATTGGAGGACTAGCCGATCAGCTGATGCGCACAACAAAGCGTGTTTCTCGTAAGGCTTTCGTTAATCGAAGTTTTGTTTGTTAATGGAAATGAAAATCATTATGGGAGCTAATACGTTAACCGAAATTTCGTGAATTGGTCCGTTCGTTAATCGAGGGACCATTGTATATGTACAGTAGCTAAAAAAAGTATCTGACAGGGTGGGTCCGATGACTTCCGAAATTATATGTATAACTCTTGATGTCTTGGGAGGGTTGATATGCATGTCTTCACCCACCGCCATTCAGTATCCAACACGGGGTGAGTTGGCATAAAGGAATAAAATAAACAGTTAAGTGATTACTATCACATAATATAAGGAGACAACATGCATATCCCAATACCTTTTGTTCGTGGTCTCATATTGTTTCACACAGAGTATGCACAGATACTTTTTTTAGCTATTGTACAGTATTTATTCAGGAGGATGCTTCGCGAACCAAATATAATTTCAGAATAAATTTAATCACATGCAGTGTTAGCATATGATTCTCATCAACATTTTATACTTTTGTAAATTTTAGATACTGCCTCACCAGATATTAGAATTGTATGCCTTCAGTTTTAGAAAATATTTGGCCCATACAAATACATTAGGAGGGACATCACTAGGGGCTAAAAGAAACTGGAAGAATGGTTGATTTCCAGTAAAAAAATAAAAGTGATGATATCTTTAGAATAAAATGTATCAAATTCTGCATTTAGAAAATCGGTTTCATTAAAAAATTGGCATGTAAAATTAACTTACCTGGTATAGTATGGTACTGTACTGTACTTAAAATATGGGCATTTTACCCAAGAACTGGGGAACGCTGCTTTATAGTCTCCTGCACTCTCAGCCTCTTGTATATAGTGACTTATTTTGGGTATTTTTGATTTAGTGTGTTACTGGAAACGTTTAGTTTTAAAGTCCTGGCTTTTTTTTTTTTGTAGATTCCAGTTTATCGATGTGAAAATTGCCATTTGAAAATTTAAAAGACAAAAAATAAAACAAAGCCAATAATTTTCTGGAACATTGACATAAAACATTCCCAAGGGAGGCCCCAGTTACCGCACCTTATGTTTTCTGAATCACCAGCAACCAACTCATAAGAAGCAAGAGACTGTAAAACAAAAATATAGTGCAGTACAGTATACTGTATATTATTCAGTGATATGTTGTGCAAGACTAAGTTTGCAGGTGGCTTAGTTTACGGAGAACTAGGAATTTAAAAAAAATGGCAACTGTTAGGTCCTGAGAGTGCATGATTTGAGAGATTTTAATGCAGTACAGTATATTTGTGTGTGTGTGTGTCCAGGTGTGCTTACTCTGTATGTGTGTACGACCTGTGGTGTAATGGTCAGCATGCTCGCCTTGCAAGTGAGCGGACCTGGGTTAGATCCCCGGGCAGGGTGAAGCTATGGGCAAGTTTCTTTACGCCATTTGCCTCTGTCTACCCACCAGTAATTGGGGACCTGGATGTTAATCAATTTATGGATTGTTTTCCTGGGTAATGGTTAGCCATTGCAGTTGGCAAGTTGTTCGGTCTTCTCGGACTATACCTTGACACTGGGTCATGCAGCTCGTTAACTTAGGGTGTGGTTGTTGTATAGGCGACAGCTTCAACACCTTAAACAAATTCACGGCTAGGTGGCCCTTGGTCCGGCCATCCTCGTGACACGAGGTGGCAATCATTATATTAATTATGTGTGTGGATATGTGCTTGTGTGTGTGCATGTTGTGGACCATCTGCTGTGGGTTCACTTTCAGTCAGCTCTTTACTGTATTTAAAAAAATTTTCTTTTTTATTTTGTATTTGTCATTATGTATATTTGTTGGGTATTTCCCTGTACCTTTCATTTTTAACAAAAAATAATACTGTAATCATGTTGTTTATTGCTGTTTCATTATTAACATTTTACTCAAATTGGTACCAGGGTACTTTTTTTTTTATTGTTATGTACAGTACTTAACACTACATGCTCTCCTTGGTTCGTCTCATATATGTACAAAATAAGTATGCTGGTAGACTAAAACTTATATGAAAATTAATCATTTTAGTAATGTGTATTTATCTGATAAGCCTGTACAGTACATACTGTAATATTAGTTCTATTGATGAGATCACACTAAGGACAGTAAGAGCTCATGTATAAACCCCTGACAATCCTCGGCTGGTTTCAGGTGGTGTGTGGGCAGCTTTTGGTCCACTGGATTGAGGCGGCCCTGGACCATGGGGTGGAGCGCGACCTGTGGAACCTGGGCTTTAGGAACACCATAACACAACTTCAAGCACAGGCAAAAGATAAACAGGTTTGAAAACTCAATTACTTTATATCTCTTTTAATTTTTTTTTATTCAGATCTTTGTACAGTACAGTAAAAAACCTGTAACTTGGCACATGTGAGGCTGAGGCCTTGCTGAGTAATGGAATTTGCCAGCTTATTGGTAATGAGATTTTATTTATTATGAAATAAAAATATTTGTAGAGTAATATCTCCGTTAGTCGGAATCCCTCAAACCCGGAACTCTCTGATGGCCTGAATTTAAATTTTCTCGGAAAATCGTTTCCAAGCCAGAATTTTCAGGAAAATTACGGCTCTGGGAACGAGTTTCTGAGGGGCACATTTTCTGGGATATTTTTCGAAAAAATTTCCAGTACCTGGAAAATCCGGGGGGTTCTGGGTTTGAGAGATGAAAATCAAGTGCATTTTCCGGAAATTCCGGGGATGGGAGATATTATTCTGGGTTCGAGAGTTGATGTAATGCATCATTCTGGAACTTCCGAGAACATTTTTCCGTTACCCAGAAAATTCAGGGGGTGAGGGATTTTTTCCAGGTTTGATAGATGATGTAATGCATCATTCTGAAACTTCCGAGAAAATTTTCCGTTACCTGGAAAATTCCTGAAAATTCTGGGATGGGGGATTTCTTTTTTACTTTGAGAGAGTCGTCGAATTAACCCGGAAATCTCTCATTCCCGGAAGTGCTCTGCACCAATTGTTCCGGCTAATGGAGATACTATCACTGTATTATTAGGTATTTACCAACAGCAAGTGGTAATTTCTTGATGAGCTTGTAAGAGACAGACAAATTGTACTGTATTGTGTACAACATTTCATAGCACAGTAAATTGTTCTGAGAAACTTAACACTATTGTATATACTGTACAGTACACATTATATATAACAGTAATACTGTACTTCACAGGCACAGTAAATAATTGTGCTGACAAACTTAAGAGTTAAGACTACACTTTGTACATAACACTTAACATTATCTATACACTAACACTTCACAGGCACTTAATCACTCTCAGATTGAGAGGGCCAGAGGCACTTGTAAACTGATGCTCATGAGGCTGATACACACGGACGGCTTGCTGGGTTCTCATGTATGACTCGACTCCAGCTGACTTTACACTAATTTACCTACTACTCAAAATGTAATGGTTATCGGGTTTCATACCGATTTATTTTAAATTGTGATTTATTGGATGTCGAGTTATGGGGTTTTTACTGTACAGTATTATTAGTTCTAGTTTGTCATTCTCCACCAGGGAGATCTTTGGGGGCATTTGACAGAAGACCATGACCTAGCTCAGTTTACCTGTATTGACCTTTGATTATGTAGAGGAGATTTTCATATTTACCTCTTAGCCATTTCAGGGGATCAATTTTAAGGAATGAATATTGACAGACTCTCTTCATCTTTGCCCCACATCGAGCTGGTGTCATCACTTGGGTTGATTCAGGCAGGTAATTGGTAAGCCCCATTTTCTATACTTTGAGATATGCTCTCCTTCAAGTGTGCTTTTAAACATAAGAAGCACCTGTGGCTGTGGTGTTGGCAGAGGTACTATACTGCATTTCTAAAACAAACTCAACTCAATTGGGGTTCAGATTTTGGGTAGTCCATGATGTACAGCCATAGCTTGAAATAATTCGTAAAATTTTCTACACAAGACCCAATGAAAGTACGGTGGTGCTGGGGGTCAAAGAATGTGAGGTATTACTGTCTGTAAGCAGCGAAGAAAATAATATAAGCTGTAGAAGGAGAAAAAATTTATTCATAGCAGCTGAAAATGGCCCTTAATACCCATAAGTTTACATTTAGTGGTAAATTGTAAGCTTGTTTTAATTAAATTTCCATTTCATCTCTGCATCTGCAGGGAGGTTCAAGTGAAGCTCGTGATATGCTTGGTTGGTTCCTGAACTCAGCCAGCGGCTTCTACTTGCAACTCTTCAATCAAATATGCTCAGAATATGGCCTTGACTTGCCATTTAGAAGGTTAGTGTAGATCCATGTCACCAAAACTACCTCTGGTGGAGTCCACCTCTTGCTAGAGGGCAAGTCGAACAGTTAGAGTCATTAATTCATTATCCAGGTACACAAGACAAGTAAATACTTTTGCACAAGCAGCATTTCTGCATCTGCCTGAAAGAGAGTTGAAGATTTATTTAATCCTACATGTAAAATATATGTACCTGAACATTTAGTGTAAACCATGATCATGTTATTTATTTCTATGTCAGCTCATTAATTTAAACATCCACACAGGAAAGACAGCATATATGGTGCTGTAGATCTCAATGGGTCAACCCAGGGGAAGTCCAAAGTGAGCAGTCTAAAAAATGCCCTCTACTTGTGCCAGTACTGTCTCGTGCACCTTGGTGACTTAGCCAGGTACCGCCATCAAGCCAAGCAAGCCGAGACTTACTACAGGTGAGTCAGGTCACTTTCTTTTATATTGGACCTGAGTGTGGGAGGACATCACAACAGGACACGTTACATTGAATGATTGGAAGTGAAAGGATAAGTGAGGGATTGCATAATGTTTACTTGTAATGAAGTGTTTCTGTTTTGAGTAGACATTTTTATATGGTGTAGACCAGACATGCAATGATTCATCCACAGATGGAATCATTTACGATTAACTTGCAAGGCCATGATTATGATACCCTCCAAAAGTAATGTAATCAATTTCAATTATGATTCAATTAAAAACTGTAATTATGATTTCTAGGATTCCAAATTAGTTAAACAAAAGAAAAAATGTATAATCACTGTCATGAAAGGTGTTTAATGCTGTATTATAGTGAATATTAATTACTAAAAAAATTTATTGATTTCAATAAGTCATAAATATAATATGAGAACATATAAATAAATATTGGTTCCTATTGAAGATTTTATTCATGCAAATCCATCCATTTTTTTAAGAATTCTTGCATGTCTGAATTTTAAAGTTTCTTATTTGATGCAATAATACTTTAAACATAATGTACCTTAAGTTTAGGAACATAAGAATGCAGGAAACTGCAGTGGGTCTATTGGTCCATATTAGGCAACCCCTTTACACCCAACCCATTTCCCTCATACTGTATATCTATCCAACCTATATTGTATTTGAAGCCTCCCAGCATGTTCGAGTTAATGACTGTGTTTGGTAACTTATTCCACTCATATATTACGGGTTGACAATCCCTTATCCGAAATTCCAAAAATCGAAAGCCTCTGAAAACAGAGTTTTTTACTGGAGTAAAACACTTTTTTTTTTTTTTTTTTTTATGGGGATTAGCCCACCCGGGCACAGGTCACTGACCCACATTGGGTCCTGTCTGGCAAAAATGTAATAATAATAATAATAATAATAATAATCATTAATAGTAAATAAAATTTATAATAAAAAATAGACAAAGATAAAATAATAATGATAGTAATAATAATAATATTAAAAATATTTATAAAATAATGATAATAATAATAATAATAATAATAATAATAAAGAAATACAAGAATGAAAAAAAGATCGAAAGTGAGAAACACGACCTAGACCTATGAATTATTATTATTACTACTATAGTTTCACCCCCCAGGCCCTGATGTGGGTCTGTGACCTGTGCCCGGGTGGGCTAATCCCCGTAGAAAAAAAAAATTAAATAAATAAATAAATAAAAATCCCTAACCTTACCTAACCAAACCATTCTGAAATCCGAAAAATTCCGAAATCTGTAACACATCTGGCCCCAAGGATTTCGGATAAGGGATTGTCAACCTGGTACTCTACTTCCAAACCAGTGATTAACTATCTCCCACCCAAAAACTAAATTTATCTAATTTAAAACCTTTGCTACGAGTTTGCTCCAAGTTAAATAGTTTGAGTACCTCTGTTATATCAACTTTGTGTAACCCTGACTTCCATTTATACACCTCAATCTTCTTGATCTTCACTGTACTGTACGTATCTGGAGGGAGTGCAAATTCAGAGGGTTTAAATCTGTGTCTATACTCAAGGGTCCTAATGCTCGGGATTAGCCTTGCCATCCTCCTCTGAATGCTTTCTTGGGATTCGATATCCATTCTATAGTACAGTGACTAAAACTGAGCCACATGATCCAAGTGAAGTCTCACATATGCGAGATATTCAGTAGTTTCAGGATAACCCAAGTATGGTACCTTGTTAGCTTTGTTTCGAGCATTTACATACAGTTACTCCCCGACTTACGACTTACTCGACTTACGACCACCTGGACATACGACTGCCTCAGTCGTACCAAAATTTTGTCAAATTATGTATTTTCAAGTCCCAACGTCAGTGATTGCGCTGTGTACTGACAAAATTTTCATTTGTAATTCACTTTAAAATGGCTGGCAAGCTTAAAAGTGAGAGTTTTGTGGTGCTGAGAAGAAAAAGAGACACCCATTTTAGATTTTCTATATATTATTTAAGCATTTTCGACTTACGACCATTTCAACTTACGACCATTTCGACTTGCGACCTGGATTTGGGTCCCTAACCCCGTCTTAAGTCTGTATTGTTGTCTTGGTTTAAGGAATGTACCTATCATTATCCATTAATCTTTCCCACAGTCAGATTTCTCTATATCAGTGTTGTTTATCTGATATCTGGTTTCTTTATTTACATCTCCTAGGCTAAGTACTTTACATTTTTACACATTAAATTTCATCTGCCATTTTCAGAGTTGTATGAAGTAACATAAACCTTTTGCTTTGTTGTTGAAGGGGAATACAGTACAATCTGTTGTGGTATATATAATTCTTAACAGCAAACGAAGGAAGACTTAGGTTCTGGCCACCTACACCAGCGGTGGGAAGGTTGGAAGAGTAAATAATGAGATATTCTGATTTTCTCCAAATGTTTTATTCAAGAGGAAAAATAGATTAATGACAATGAATATAAATTAAAACATTATTCTAGGATATTGGTACTGTACAATTTTTCACTCTCTTGGTGGATCTTTTTAGACATGCTGTCATGGTGGCGCCCACCAGTGGTCATCCATACAATCAGCTTGCCCTTTTGGAAGCTGGACGAGGGAACCGTCTGGCAGCAGTGGCACTATATGTCCGGGCAATGTGCGTGCCTTGTCCCTTTCCTGGTGCTCCTGCTAACCTAACACAGACACTGTCCAAGTTGCTGGCCACCAGGTGAGATATAACAGCTGCGAGTATTGTTTCACCTTATTCACTAGTGCAGTATACATAATTTGATCATGATGAAACAAGATTTTGCTGGATAAAGGATTAGAAGATGATAAGGAATGTTATTTTTGTATGTGCTATAACTAGGGTGGTGGGAAATATAAGAACTGATTACAGTAAAGCTTTTGGCAGTACCTATATGAATAACCTAAAACGTTAGCTGTATTTTTCTCACACAAGTTCGGTCATTGAGGCTGAAGGCTTAATGACCATCCAAAGAGCTAGTACTGTATACTGACAATTTATAGAAAAAAGGTGACATACAGAAGTGTCAAGGAGAAAGTAGGGAGTAAAAGCCTTTCATTTCTGTTGTCAAAATGTAGTTCTGTACTAATTTTTGTTGTAATTCCACAGCAGTAGCCGCGAACTGAGTGGGTCGACACGAGTCACCGGAGAAGAATACACCAATCTTTTTCTTCAGTGCCATGCCCAGCTATACCTCCATGGAGATGCTGCCAGTGCCCGAGAGGCTCTCCCAACTCTGTGTTCTGCTCTGTCCACTCTGGTTGCCACAAATGCCTTCACCAGAACTAGTCTCATACAGGTACAGTACATGATACACCTTGTTAACGGGAATGCAGGAAGCAGCACAGTACACTTATGGGTGAACAACTTCCTTCTTCTAAATTTTTAGTGTTATTGTCTCAGACTATTGAAACTTCTTGTCAATGCTAATTATTGAAAAAACAAAAACAAGTCTAAATTTTTATACATCAAACTCAGGAAAGAGTTTAAAGGACAATAAGACATTACAGCAAAGGTAAATGGTTTGGAAATAAGATGAAGTTTTGGTTAACAGGCAGACTCTTAGTGGACAAGTATTTTGTTGACCTTTGTGATAGACTTTTGAATATTTTATACTTTGTCCAGAATAAAATCATTCAGTGTTGGCTAAATAAAATACTCAAAGTAGCGTCTAGTAGTGAATGGATTAATATATATTTATACCTATTTCCAGCCTTCTTTCTTCATTAATTATTTTGTATAGATATATGGTAATCAACCTCAATTTTTTCTTATTTTTGTTTCCTCTCATTTAGTATTACTCTTTTCATTAAGCATTCGCACGTTTTTATAATTGAATTTATGGTCCTATGGAGACACATTATTCTTAACAATATGCATTTTTTCTGAGAGAAACTAGTACTATGAATAAACATTTTTCTAGATGGTACTGGTGAATCTGTTTGCCCTAAACTACTTTTCTGGAGCTGTTAAGGTTAAGACAAATGAAGAGACTGGTGGGAGGAAGGATGAAGAGAAGCTGGAGAAGCCAAGGGATGTTAAAGAGTAAGTTGTGTGTGTGTGTTACACTTAATCAATCAGAGTACCGTCCTCATATCTGAAGATTGGCAACCACATTCCTCCACTCTAAACATTCTCGGGCTGTTCTTACCAATTTGTGTTACACTAAACATTTAGTGATAACTTCTATGTATTTCTCTTTTTTCGGAAACTTCTGACTGGCTGTAAATGATTATGCAGATCATCAGAATACAGGTACTGAACCAATTCCAGTATCTGGCAAGCTTGGTACCTAAGGTGAGCCGAATTTTGGGATCTGGCGGATTTCTGGTCCTAGGCCTAGTGCAGTATACTGTACAGGCAGTTGTTGTTAAACATGAGGTTTATGGGGATAGGTTCCAATTGTCATTATTATTTATTTTGCATACACCAAAAATTAACTTAAACTGATACAATAAACAATAAAAATTATACATAGCACATCATTAAATACAATAGGACATATTTTATTTACAAAAAATAGCTCCTTCCACCCTCAAACCATCATCCCTCCGGCCAATGCTGAGAACAGGTGACATACAGCCAGGCAGCCAGCTGACTCGGAGACATGTGTAGCTGCTGCCAACACATTGGGGGAGACTGGCGACACAGAGACAGGAACAACTGGTGCTGTACAAATATTATAAGAAAAAATAGTAATTTTGAGCGAAGCTTAAATTTAACTTGACAAACAGTAGCAAAGAAGATAAAGTGAACTAACAGCAGAGGTGCGTGTAAGGTGCCCACGTTTAAACTGAAATACTTATCCAAACTAGCTACAGTAAGGTAGAAGAAGTGCTATTGCCAAACTGCTCACTGCCTCTGCAAATACTTTCACCTCTCCCACAGAATACACACTCATGCTCTTAATTTTTTTTTATTTGATAGTTTTATTTAGTATTTTCTTTATATTTAAGTCACATTAGAGTATTAAAATCATTTTTCTTAAGTTTTATAGTTTCTTTACATGTTATTATGGCAACGTGTAGCCGTCTCGCAGGCCACAGCTGACTGGCAACGTGTGTTTTTGGAAGTTCCATTAATACTGTAAGTGTAATGGTTACTTTACAGGATATTAGATGCTCTTCGCAATATTCATATGTAATTCACGGGTACTGAGTGGTTAGGCAGTAAGTAGACTGTCGTAAACCACTTGTAAAAAATCTGGTGAGGGACAATGGGGAGAATCACCCATCATGACAAACAGATAAAAACTATGGTGATGTGTTCTAGTTTACCATGACAATTAATGATGTCACCCGATGTCTTCCATCAGGAGTCTCTAGCACACTATATGTAGATGATTAAGCAATTAGTTTTCTTCATCCTATCTATGTGTTGCTGAATGACAACTTCAGTGCTGAAGTCTTACCTGGGTTCCTAAGCTGCCAGCTGTTGGTTTTCCAGACTTGGTTGAAAGTGGGCTTTCAGGATCAATCCTATATTCAAGAAGTTGTAAGAGAGCGAATAAACAATACTTTAGGGAATCCTTGACATTGTCACCAATGGTAAAGAATGACCTCTTGAAAATAGTGATCACAAAGCATATGTTCTTTGCCACTTATTTCATAAAGCAAAACCTGTATGGTAATCGTTTTTATTTTCCTTTTTAAATTGTTTTAAATGTCAATTAGTTTTTTAAAGACATATCAATATCTGTACCCAAGCAAATTTAATATGATTTATGGATCATCAGTGAGTGACCTGCAAGATCCTTACCAATAAAATATTCCTTGGCAGAGCTTTCCTCTGTCAGTTGACCTTGACCTATTTAATGGCATGTTTACCAAGGGGTGTTTTAGCAGTATGGGTCTTGCAGGTAAATCACGTCCTTATCTTAATCATAAAAGAAATGTTGAAATTTAACCCTTAATTTTGTTATTAAATCATAGATTTTGTGTGATGATACTAGTTAACATTATTTGAAGCACAATCCAACAAGAAATTAAAGATTCTATAGAAATAAATAATTTCCTCATGTTCCTGAGTAAATCTTTAAGAACAGATACAAAGGCCATGATTTATGTGATGAAGTTGTTTATAAAGTGTTTGATGTTTTTCAGGTGTGATGGCTGTCTACCAGTGGTGGAGGAGCTGACTGTGGGAGTGCTGGCAGCTCTTTTACTGCCTGTTCATACCATCCGTGACCCAGACCAACTTATGACATATCCTGCCCTCCCTGCTGGTGAGCACTCTTTTTATTTTCTGTAGGTGCTCATGAGCCAGAGAGATTTTTGAGGTGCTCATGGATGGCACTGAGATATAAGACATTTGAGGTACTCATGAGCCCAAGTTTTTATAGTGGTCAGGAATAAGAGACTATTTGATCTTGTTATTATATACTATACTGTAGTTACTTAAAGGAAAAACTTTTAACAGTCCACACAGAATAGTTAACTTAGTTGTGTGGATATAATTCAGGATTTATTCTACAGCTTCCCAAGCATTTTCCCATTACTGTGTATTGCTGGGGTCTCTTTTTCAATCATGTAAGCTTCGTGTTGATCCCCATCCCATTGGCTGGGTGTTAGTCCTTTAAAGTGTTGTTCCACCATTAATAAGCACACCTAATAGTACAGGTTGACAATCCCCTTTTCTGAAACCCTTGGGACCAGAGGCATTTCGGATTTCGGAATTTTTCGGTTTTCAGAATGGTTAGTTTTTTTATTTATTTATGTGTGTATCAGCCCACCCGGGCACAAGTCACTGACCCACATTGGGGCCTGGGAGGCGAAAATATAATAATAATTATAATAATAATAATTCATAGGTATAGGTCATGTTTCTCACTTTTTATCTTTTTTCACTCTTGTATTTTTTATTATTATTATTATTATTATTATTATTATTATTATTATTATAAATTTTGTTATTATATTTTAATATTATTATTGTTATCATTATTATTTTATTTTGGTGTATTTTTTAATTTAAAATTTTATTTACTATGAATAATTATTATTATAATTATTATTATTATAATCAGTATTACTATTACATTTTCGCCCCCCAGGCCCCGATGTGGATCAGTGATTTATGCCTGGGTGGGCTAATCCCTGTTTAACAAAAAAAAAAAAATCCAAATTTTTTTTTCGGTTTTCAGAGCTTTTCGGTTTTCGGAATTTCGGATAAATGGTTGTCAACCTGTATACAAGAAGGGCACCCAGTCCTCCTCTCTAGCCTGGAATGAACCCAACACAATTTGCTTTATGAAGTGTATAATCTGCATTACCTGTCTCGTAGCCTTGCGTTTTGTAGATTTAAATGAGTTTAGTATTGAAGTGAATGTGACTTTGTCGAATAGTGGATAATACCTGAAAAAGGGTATATAGTATAATGATCATTTTCCCACATATACTGTGTCTGTTTTCCATTTTTATGCAAACATAAATTCACAGATTTTTACATGGATTTCAAAGCTTTACCTATACTGTACTGTGCAGGTGAAACTTAATTATGAAGTAGAATTTGAACAGATGTGAGAAAGGATTTTATGGTAAAGGGGATGTAGGGGAGATATGTTAAGAAATGTCCAAGATGGGGGCTGCTTTTGGAATATTTTTTCATGTCAGTTACCCAAAGAGCTTGATCATGTCATCCGATATATCAAGGGTTCGAGCCTCGGCCCAGACGCACGTGAGAAGGGTGTTATCCAGTGTGACCCTCACTACCAAACACCACAGGTTTCCTCCTGTACTAACACTGGATAGACTGCCCAAATGGCTAGTAAGCTGATAAGTGGCCCAAAAAAATATATTTATCTATATATTTCACATACAGTAATTGTGAATTATGGTAAACATTTTTCTTCACACATGTTTCAGTGCGGCTGTTGTTCGAGTGGGTTCACTGTGAGAAGGGTATGTTCATGTCAGAAGCTATGAAGAATAAGCAGCAGATTTGGCCTGGACTCTGCACATTAGTCAACAACTTGCAGCAGCCTTTGGAATCTTTTGATGCTACAAAATGTAACTAAAAGCTTTAATATTGTACTAAGTCATATTGTTTATTTTAACTATATATTTTTTTTAGCTCTTTTCTACTGTAGTGAAGAGCAACATTCTCTTCACTAGGTGTCATTGTATCTCCCTCAGTAACCTCCCAAAACCATCTAGCTGTGATGTTTTTCTTCCGTCACAAGACTTCAAAGTATCACATGTGGTTCACCTAACACAGCACACTGCAACCCTTCAGTTCAATTATAAAGTTTTCCATTATTATTATTATTACTTATTTTATTATTATTATTACTACTATATTGTTTTATTCTTCTTTGTATTATTAGTATTATAATTATTATTGTTTTCGCTATCATTATTGTTGTTAGTATAATTATGTACTGTCAGATATTACAAAACGAATGGCTGTAGTGTACTGTAAATTTGATTGAATGCAAGTGTTATTTCTTCAATTATAAATTCTTCTGATGATATGCATAGCCCTTCCTGTGCACAGTATATACATCACCTGATACTGTAGTTGTAAATCCAAAACTTTTTACAGGTCACTTTAATCAGGCTTTATGAAAATGTTGTGCAGATACATTATATTACTTGTATTTTGTTTTTTCCAGATTCGGAGGTGCCATTAGTGGAAGATTGGGACCTACAAGGCTTTGAACCACTCCAAAAAATGTTGAGCAAATACAAGTAAATGCTGTTTCATATTTTTTTCCCAAATACTTGATGAAATTGAAGGTTGAGAGGTTTTTTTTCTTGATTTTTTTTAAAGTTTAACGTGTAAAATAAGAACAGCTTTTCAAGTTTTTGTTTTCTACTATAAATGACAAAAGCAGTACAGTACATCTAAAGATACAGACAAGGATAACAGTACGGCATGAGTAACAGTGTATAAGTTAACAAAAATTTTTTTATCATCATAAGAGCTCCAACAGTGTTTTATATGATTGAAAACAGAGGGGAACATAGAATACTGTATTATACTGTACCTGTACTATGTTATTTTTTACTGATTTAACAATTTGCAGTTTAAAAAAACAAAACAATAAAGTACAGTATTGTAGTTCAGATGTTATATCAGATTTTATCAGTGTTGCCATATAATTCATGGGTTTCAAAATATGTTCAGGTACCGTGAAGGCCTATCCAAGCCAAGTCCAGAGGAATACAACTGTATCCGAGCCTCCCGACTGACTGATATTGCCAAATGGTTTGTTGGACAAGATATTGATGGAAATTCTGTCATCAAAGTAAGTTAAATAAGTGGAATGTAAGCATAGTTATGATAAAAAACAGTATACTGTACAATGCCACAAACCTGTAATACATGTGCTCCTCTCCTAATGAACATTAGATTTACAAACTTTCAGAGATACAAACATCATTATTGAGGGGGGATTTAATGTGTATGAGACTGGATTATTTTGAAGAAAATTACAGATAGAACATGCATTACCTAAGAGGAGAAGAGTGAGCTAGGTTTTAAGACTGTTTCGTAGGGTATAACTTTACTAAACATCCATTATCTTTTCACTTTTTACAATATGTTTGGTATCTACAAGAGTAAAGTTGGACTTACAGACAATTGGTTTTACGAACAAGCCTCGGGAACATAATTTGTTCGTAAGTAGAGCAGCACCTGTATTGTGGGACCAGAACCCTCTTGTTGTGGAGATGCATTTTTAAATGTTGTAAATTAGCTTAACACTGTACAGTCACGGAAAAAGTTCTGTCAGTTCTCCATCCCATCCATGAACCCTGAGACTCATGAACCTGTGAGTCAGAGACATAACACAGTGTGCCATATATGGGCCTAACAATGTGTGGATGGGACAGAGGACTGACAGGACTTTTTTCTGTGACTGTGCATATCTATCCTCCAACATATTCGACTACTGTCATAATTGCTTATTGATCATTAACTTCAAATGCTTCCTCTCGAGTATTAACCGAGCAAGGTGGTTATAAGTATCTTGGTGAAGATGTATAGAGTAAATTCTCAGATAAAGTAGAAAATACCGGGTAATTTACAAAACCCAAAACCCGACCAAACAGAGTAGGCGGGCAGTGAACTGAACCTGTGGACAAAGCTCTGGTGGCAGAAGTATCAGAACTCATTTCTACATAGTTTATGCAATTCCAAGCTTGATTTTTCCTACATTGTTTGAAAATGTTTAATTTTTGGAAAGATAGGATTCAGATTTGTGGCTTTGTACTGTAACTTCATTTATATTACATCCTCCACATGCCACAGATAATTATACAGTCTCTCCTCGACTTACGACAGGGTTTCGTCCCGACGACCAGGTCGTAAGTCGAATTGGTTGTAAGTTGAAAAGGTGAAAAATAATACATAGAAATTCTAAAATGGGTGTCTCTTTTTCTTCTCAGCACCATGAGAACTCTCACTTTTATGCTTGCCAGCCATTTTAAAGGGAATTACAAACGAAAATTTTGTCATTACACAGCACGATCACTAACGTCGGGACTCAAAAATATGTATTGTGAAAAATACTTTATACGACCATGGCCGTCGTATGTCCGGGTTGTAGTAAGTCGAATATGCCGTAAGTCGAGGAGAGACTGTACTATAATTTGGAACGTGTTTACATAATTCTGTGCAACATGTCTACAGTTGTTCTCAGGAAAACACGGTCTCCCATACAATTTCTCGTGCTCTCTTGATCCACTTTGTTTTATCTCTTAATGATCAGTTTCTCTAGAATATACTGTACTGTATTCCTTTACCCAAAAACACGTGTGTAATGGTAGGCTACAGAGAATACCCTATTGCTCTATGGTGATATAACCCTATGCTGAGAATTGGGGAAAATAATTGAATCTTCAAATTAATTCAATACAATTTTGAGTACTGTACAGTGAACCCTCACTTTACGCGGTCAATTGAACCCACGGAGGAACGCATAAAGTGAACAACATAACACATGGGATTAAATGAAATAGAGACCGGCTGACCCCCAAACTCCACTTTTTCCGACACAATACCTATGTTCTAGTAAAAATAACATCTTAATTTTATGATGGTACATGCACACAATTAATATTTAAGAGAAATAGAGAAATACAGTTGCCAAGTTAATGTCCATTCAAATAATGGACTCAACTCCCTCCCCCTCTTCTCAATAAATAAACAAAATATACTTACCGAAATACTATCTGTCAATCAAAATACCCCACCTCCCCCCCTCTTCCCACCTGCTCCCTGGGTCCCTCCCTCCCTCCCTACCCCTCACCCCCACCTTCCCTTCCTACCAGAGAAATGATTGGGTTATAACAGTATATCTACATTTTTAGTAATAAATAATACCTCAGACTAAAGTTAGGATAATATAATTGACATTGCTGGATTCCTTGCAAGACCAGGAATATTTTGAATATACACGTCATATATTTTGCACAAAAGATAACATATTTGCTCTGAGTAAACAAAATACTTGCATTAGATCTAAAATTTGTATGTCTAATGCAAAATCTATGATGCTTATATTCAAAATGATCATCAAATTGTAAGAATTCCAGCAATGTAAATTATATTCTGGCTGGGTAATTTGTATGAATTTTATGAGCTAAATAAAAAAATTATACTTCACCCGCGTGTATGCACCGCATAAAGTGGGAATTCCGGTTCTGGCAGGGTACCGGTTCTGGCAAGGTACCGCGTAAATGTAGAAACTCGTAAAGTGAAACTGCGTAAAGCGAGGGTTCACTGTACATTCCTTTACGAATTGGTGTACATGTTACTTACTGTCATCAGGTAAAATAGATTTATTTTCAGAACTAATTTTTAGCCCACTCACTAAAAGGCCCTGAGAATAATACTTTATTAAAGGTTTTGCTGCAAAGTTTCCTATCTTTAGGTACCGGGTAAGTAGATTTCTGGTTCATCCATCGTTAAAAAGAGTTTATGAAGTGATTATGGATTCATTTTTCTGTATTGTCCTGAATTCAGATTTGTGAAGGGAGTAAAGACTCGCCAGGAGGGTTAATGTTTGAGCCAATGAAACACCTGAGCCCACCTGTGGATGAAGTTCGTGCCCTTGAGCAGCTCTCCCTTCAGCCCAAACCTGAGGTACAGGACAGTAGTGCTATGTGCAGTTGACTGTTGCAAATGCCTTATGTAATTTTAGGAAGGATACAGTCAAGGATAGTCTCTGGAAACAGAAAAAAATTGCAAGTGATGGATGGAGTATATAATGGAAGATGAAGTGATTGGGAATGGAATGAATGGGATAAGAATACTACACTGTTTGTATGTATCAGAAAATGTTGTGACGGCACCGAGTGTGAGCTCCTTCAAGACCAGACTTGACCAGCTCTGATGCAGGTACTGATATATCCTATAGCCAATACACTATATGAACAGTACTGTACTTGCCAACTTTGCGTAACAGAGATGTAACTGACCGCCCAAGCAGCCAAAAAGCTGACAAGTGGCAAAGAGGATAAAAGTAAAAGAAAAGTAAATATCACAACACATCTTTTTTGGTAGTTAGATAATGAATGGCCAAGAGCAGAAAATGTCAAAAGGTTCATAAGAAATATTACCAAGTTGTGGGGGAATACAGTTATTATTTTATATGTATTTATATTTCTGTGGAATTTTTAACCCCTACTGTACAGGGTCCTCTCTGCTGAATAAAATTATCTGACTTTAGCCAAATTAAATATCAAAAGTGGCATCCCAGAGTGAAGGGGTTAATGTGGTTTCACACTGTAACTGCTAAATGCTTGAAATGTGAAATTTCTTAAGCCTTTTAGTGTAAGAGTGATTGCTTTATAGAATGAGTGCATGATTAACTACTATAATGATTAGAGTTTATGCTCTTGAAATTTAAAAGCCTGGGAGTTTTAGTGAATTGCTGTACTGACTTAATTTATATATTTCAGGAAAAATTATCTGGGAAGCGGGGTAAAGTTGGTATTCTGAAGCCACAGGGATCCTTGGAACGAGCAAGGGAAACACGTGAACAACAGCAAGACCAACCTGAGCACCCAGAGAAGTCCCTGAGAATCACTGGAGATGGTGAAGATATGAGAGAATCAGGTTTGCTGTCTTTCATGTTTATTGTGAATTATTTTTTCTGGTATACAAGTATGTACAGTTGCTTGCACTTATACCTGGTCAGTGGCTGGTGCATTTTATGAGATGTGGCACCTCTGTTTATTTTCATCGTATTAAAACTCAGAATTACCACATCTTGCTAAATGAGTTAGTCACAGTACCAGGTATAAGTTCAAGTGACTGTACATACTCTTTACTTTTCTAATTTATTCTTTGCTGTAAATAGAAAAATGAAACGCATAAGGATTAAAAGAAGTGAAGAGTAGTTGATTTAAAAGCAGCAAATGATGCAGCTTTAAGTGATGTTAAGATAGAAATAGGTGAAGAATGTACTGGTGTATGGGTAGAAAAAGATATTCTTAAAATGTTTTGAATTGTGTACAGGCAAACCCCTTTATTCATAGCCTCGGTATTCGTAACCCCGTTTATCTGCAATCAATTTATTGTTACCCATTTCCACTATTCGCAATGGTTGCCCCGTTTATTCGCAAATTCTTACAAGCAAAAATTTTGAACCGCGTGCCTCAACCGTAGCGTAGGACAACGTGTGTACGTATTCCTCCGCCATACGCTCCCGCTCGCCTCAGTCTCACATGTGCTGGCGTATATTTTGTGTGACCTCGCAGTTGTGTTTTGTGTGATCTCACAATGCCTAAGCGACCAGCTACTAAAACTTCCAGCAATGTTGCTAAGAGATCACCACTGATATTAAAGAAAAGGGTGAGACTGATAGTGGAACGCCAATGTATACGTGCGCACTCAAGGAAACATAGTCATTTATCTTAAGAATATGTACAAAAGATTCATTATTGTTTATTACTGAATATGTATTTGATTAAAGTTAATGTTTATATATGTGAAATGAACAATGCAATTCATTAATAATACGTAGAATATTAAAACACACACTAGGAGACAAGATGGCATTGTTTTCGTGATTGATGATGGTTCTACATAAGAAACTGAAGAAAATAAGACCATGGTTGTAGCTGTAGTGAACTTAATGAAAAATAATTGAATACCTGTATGTATATTTTAAGTAATGTTACTTAATGTTAATAAATAGAACACTAGAAGTAGCTAACCACTAATGATAAAGAAATAAAGCGTGACGATTGGGAACGCTAATGTATGTACAGTAAGTGCGTACCTGTGAAAACATATCGTCATTTCTCTACATATGAATATGAAAGCAACACTTATTTACTGTTCATATATGTTTTAAATAATATTTACGAATGTAAAACAGAAATTCTACTCGCCAATGGTGGTAAAGTCTAAAACATAAGGACAGCCAATGAATATTGTATGAGTTTTTACTCAGATGATTAATTCATCAGGTTCAACTCTGGCTGAAGCTGTAGCTTTCCATAAAGCTGTTGCTGAAACTGTTGCTGAACCTGAAGTTGTTGTTGAAGCTGCTTGTGATGCTGAATTTGATGGTGTAGCTGAAGTTGGTGGTTTAGGCCTTCGGATAATAAAGCTGTTGAAAGAACCTTGCACAGCTGCTTTCTTTTCTCATTATACATCTTTATGTAGAGGTCATTTGCATTTATTTAAATTTTAATGCTTTGTTCTGTTAATGGATCCACTTCAGAAAATATCTTCATTGCTTGCTCCATATAATATCCACAGACCTCTCACCTTTTTCATATCGTTTTAACACATCTAGTTTCTCAGCTAAGCTTATACACTTTCTATTAGCTTTTGTAACAACACTTCCATCACTTGCTCATAGGAATGCAAAAATGCTGTAAGAAACCTGCGTAAGTTTTTCTCTTTTTCCTGTTCAGATGCGTGAAAACAAAGGGCCCGCCAGCTGCGATTGTTTACACTAGTGATGCTGGCTTCACCACTAACAAGCTCGGCAGCCTTTGTCTGCAAGGCTTGTTTTTTTTGTTTTTTTAATATTAGGATTTAGTTATTATTTATACGGAAATTTAATGTTTTTTTTTTCATTGTAAATACAAAGAAAATAATGGCGTGAATTAAATTGGGTCCTAAATTAACCAGTGTCTGATATACGAATCTTCATTAGTTGAACCGTCGTTATCGGAGGCTTTACTGTACCAGTTATGCAGTAGTTAATATTTTACTGGGAATGACTAAACTGATGTGTTTGTGGATGAGTGAATGTTATGCTTCCTGATCCTTCTTCCAGGTGTTGGTGGTATTGGTATGGGCATCAAGGTGGTATCTGGTTCTGGTCAGTTACAAAGTTCACCCTCATGCCAGCCCTCACAGCAACAACAACAACAGCAGCAGCAGCAGCAGCAGCAACAACAACAACAGCAGCAGCAGCAGCAACAACAACAGCAGCACCAGAGCCAAGGACAAGGCCAGCCTCGTCCCCCACGCTCTCGCACCAATGTGGCGCTGCAAGCAATTATGAAGAGGAACTCGGCCATGCAAGAAGCCAAACAGGTAAAAGAATGAACACCAATTATGTGTGGTGGACTACTACATAAATGTCGAGTATCAACAGAGTTATACTGATAAACATTTGTAATTCCTTTCCGATGGTCCAGAATCATTGATAGTTGTTGCAAGTCCCAAGTGAGAACCAAGAAGAAAGTTATTGTTAGATCTTGAATGGGCTTTATTAAATTACTTTTGTGTAGGAATTCATTAGAAATTATTAAGTCATAAAAATACTGCATAATATTACCATGGCTGTTATACAGTAATATCTCCATTAGCTGGACTCCCTCTTAACCAGAACTCTCCGATAGCCAAAATTTAAATTTTCTCTGAAAATCGTTCCCAAAGTCGGAATTTTCTGGAAAATTCTGTCTTTGGGAACGATTTCCGAGGGGCATATTTTCTGGAAAATTATGAAAAAATTTTCCCAGTGTCCGGAAAATTCCCAGGATGGGGTAGTTTTTTTTCCAGGTTTGAGAGATGAAAATCAGACGCATTTTCCGCTACTTGGAAAATTCCGGGGATGAGGGATTTTTTTCCAGCTTTGAAAGGTGATGTAATGCGCAATTTCTGGAACTTTGGAGAACATTTTTCCATTACCCGGGAATGGGGGATTTTTTCAGCTTTGAGTCATCTCGTCACCCGGAAATCTCTCATTCCCAGAAGTGCTCTGCACCAATTGTTCCGGCTAACAGAGATATCACTGTACTATTAATTTCTAGAGTTAAGCTTTTATCAAGTAAGGCATATTAGCTTAACTCAAGTTGTAATTATTGTAATGGGGAGGAAGGCATTTGTTCTTGTCACCTTCAAAATGATGGTGAAATGGAATGAGTTTGATTACTGTGTAAATTTTTTTTATTTAACCTGACCCATTTATATATTGAGGGATACCTGTATCTTCATTTAGTATTGATATTTTTCAGTCTTCCATGATTAGTTTGTAAGGAACTAGAAGAGATTTTCTTTTTTCTTTCTCTCTCTCTCTTATGAGAATTAATGTTTAGAAACAACTTAAAAATTACAGCTAGAATAAAAAGTGCTCATAATTAACACCAAGCAATGTATAAGCAGTGTAAGGTTGACTGCTGTATTATGAAAACTGTTGAACCCCAATTTAATGTTTCTTGAAAAGAGAATCCAATAGCAGAAATCCCATTAGATAAAAATAATTGTGTTTTCTCTCTTCTGACTGGTAAATAATGATGCTCTAGCTAATGGAACCTTGCACAAATTTATATGGATACAGGACCTAATTATTCATTGACTAAAATATAATGAAACAGCACTTAATTGAAATGACTTTATACAAAGACTTTGTACTATACTGTATTTATTATTGTTTATATATCTTGTAATCTTACCAGTATGCTGTATTCAAGCTGGCTTTCCACATTCAGCATATTTCCTAAACTTTTTTTTTGCCTTTGACCAACCAGTACTCAAGATATCTGCTCAAAACATGTGCATGTTGTTCTTTCTGTTACTTATTAAAGCAGCTACCAGTTTTTGCTGTAGATTTAAGGTTATGTGAAAAGAACAAGAGTTGACTCACTTAATAAGTGTGAGGGATAATGGAAGTAAAGAAACCTAATTATACAAAAAAGTAGTAATAGGAAGTCACAAGAGGTAGTTAGTATCAGAATCATCTATGTAGAAATTTTAATGTTCCTGGATGCCTGGATAGGATTGTTTCTTGATTCCATACGTGAGAGATTGATATTGAGAATACCTGTACTACCAATTAACAAAGAAATACTTTTGATGAAATGTAATAAATGTGTAGCAAAATATTTTCCTTCACATTTGCAGGTAACTTTTAAGACTCCCTCCCCAGCCATCTCTCCAAATCCATCTGAAGCTTCCAGTGACAGTCATCGTAGCCAACTTTCCACCCCACCACTGATGCCTCCCAGTTCTCAGCGAGATCCCATGTCAAGTTCCCCCATGCCTCATCATCTTGGACAAATGTATCAGATTAACACACCACCTCAGGGACAAGGAACTTCATTTGTACGACAGAACCAACCCACTGAAAATAATTTTTCAAATCAACAACACCAGCAATTTGGAGGACAACCTCCTTGGGGAGGAGTAAGTGGAATGAGTGGAAATGTCCCTTCCCAGCATGGCATCGGTCGACCTCTACATCAACAAAACCAACCCATGAACTCTGGACCAAACTTCAATATGCAAAGAAATGGCAGTGGGCCATCTCCACAAAATGTTCTACAGCAACAGATGCCAACATCCACACCCAGTCATTCTGACATACTAACAGCAGGTGTGTTTAACAGACCACCTCTAGAGGGCTTCCATCAACTTAGTGGACCTGTTCCACCGAGGCCAGGAGTAGATATATCAAATAGAATGCGAGAGCCAGCACCCAGAATGCTGGAAATGATGGGGATGACACGTGCGCCTCCTTCCTTTGGACCAGTGGAGGGATTGGGAAACCCATGTAGGATGCGCCCTCCAGGCACGGAAGGCCAAGGGTTAGAGAATTCTCCTCGCATGACTCAGGCACCATTTAGACCACATCAGGAAATGGATCCAGTCACTTCTCAAGCCAAGATGAATCATATAACCCATCCATTACTCTCACCTGGAGCTATGAATGCACATCTTTATGGTATGGATGGCAGGCAGAATGTCAGTGGATCTAGTGGTCCTGGAGTGTCAGGTCCCAGGAATATGTTTGGTGAAAGTGACATGGGACCACCACGGGGCCCAGGACTATCACCACCCATGGGGATGGGCTGGGGTCCAGGGCACAATGAAGGCAAAAGCTATATGAATCATCCTCCTCCTACTTTGGCAAATCTTTTGCAGCAACATGCCCCAGTTGATATAAGGCTCAACCTACCTATGGATCACAGTTCAGATCAGCTCAATCCTGGGTTAGCCAGGCTACCTGGTGGTCCCTCAGTACACAACCCTGCCATGAACACTCGCAGCCCTCCTGGTGTAGGCCCACTTGGTGCAGTTCCCCTCGGTATACTCTCCATGCCTTCCACACAACCCCCAGGCTCCATACCTCACAACCAACCACCCAGAGGACAGCAGTCATTTATGCAAGAGGTTAGTGTTGTTTTCTATTTATTATTTCAAATATATGTTTGCATTAAAAACAGATTATAAAGTACTGTAAAAGAATTACTGTGATGGTCCCCAGGTCGAGCTGCACTTATAACAGTGCGATGGGTCAGTGGTTGGATTCCAGGGGACTCCCAGTCCACCCAGCTATATTTTGATAACTGTATACAAGCTGGGAAAATTATGTCAGTGGTACAGAGTCGGCCACACTGCCTATTGGTGAACCGAAGGCTTTATTGTACAGTGGGTTGTATCCATACTGTCCCCAAGGGAAAGTCATGTCTTTAGGACCCACTTTCACTTTATATTGTAAAAACTTATATTTAAAGGGTTATTTAAGATTTACCATATGCCTAATGTTTCATAGATGTTGGCCAAGAAGCAGTTTATATAATTTTTATCCCCTAGGTAGAAATAAATAGTAAAATTCTGTGTAGTCATCAATCAGGTCTGCTAATTTTTCATCTATTTTTTTTAAATAATTTCTCTGGAAATGCATATTGCTATTGATCCACCTTCCTTACCGGTAATGTGGCCATTGTACTGTAGTTAAACAGTACAGTATTATCAACTTCCTTAAAAAGGATTAAATATAATTTTTTATTGTTTTTATTTACCATTACCTGTACAGTATCTCATTTTATAGGGTGGTGAAGGTGATGGACCTTCAGGCAACACATATTCACTCTTCAGTCCCATGAGTGGAGGCAGCATGGGTATGGGAGCTGGTCCCAGTCGCACAGTCCCTCATCCCCTTTACCCAAGCAATTCACAGCCAAGTGGACAACAGGTAAAGTCAGTCATAAATAGATCACTTTTCTTTTATAAGGAAAATTTTTTATTAGTTTCAAATTACACATGATTGAAACATTCATAGTAATTAAAAGTATGATGCATTATTTGCAACCACCTCTTGCATCACAACAATAACCAGAGCTCAACAGTTGCCAGTTACTCTCCTCCTCTCTTCATAGACTCATTACACAGCACCCGTGATGAGTACAGCTTTTTTTCATTTGTAGGATTTCCTTGATTTCTCTAATGATGCAGTTATTGGGTTAAGGAGGACTAAAGGAGAAGGGATAGTCCATAGGAATTACAGGAATACAGTATTTATGAGTTAAATCTTGGCATGAGCCACTTGCTCCTACAATCACATATGACTGAGACAGGTTTAAGTACAGTAGTATAGTACAGTTTTACAACACAACTGATAGGGACATAAATGAATAGTGTGAGTAAATTTAGGGAGGATAAAAACAATAGCAATGTGTCCATGAGTGAGATAAGAGAGGGATGATAAGGTGGTGAAGTGATTAAGAAAGGTGTGTGTGTAGGAAAGAGAGTCTAGTGTGTACTACAGTTAGGTGTGCTTGGAGAAGAATGCAAATGGCTTCCAGCTGGATGGATATGGATAGATAGACCTACAGTTAAAATTATTTTTATTTCTTTTTTGGATTAGGAAAGATGAAATCCTGGTGCAGCATCTGGAAATATTTTTATACTAAGTTGCAGTTATCTGTAATTTTATTTGATACATAAGTTAAAGTGTTTAGTAATATTGATACAAAGATAAAATGAGAAACTTTACTCATTATCACAGTCGCTGTGGTCTGGTCCTGGCCCATCTCCACTGGAGCGTCTCCTAGAGCAGAAGAAGTACAGCAATGTTCCTAAGTGAGGTAGGGATGAATCGTCCGGATGGAATTAAACGTAACAGATACCACTTTGCGACCCCACCACGGGTGCACGGCAGAGCAGAATCACCACCGTTTATACGGTCGGCGATGAGTCGAGTGGCACGGTACAGCTGAGCTTCCAATATTGCATATAGCATAGCTCGCAGTGCCCTCAGGTTTACTCACTGCTGGACAGGACTGGGGCAAGCAGTCGTAGAACAATGTCATAGTCTGGGTGACTGGGGCATGTATACGTAGAGCTCTGTATTTATAACTGTGAGGAGATTGGCAAGGAAAATCCCTTGATGGCAGTTTACTGAAGCTCGAATTCCTCTGTGCTGTGAGTAATAGCATCAACTGCAGTTGTGACATCAACTTGGGTTGTCTGTGCAGCTGATGACTTGGCACACGAAGAATGTAGCTCAGCTGTTTACTTGAGATATTTCCTCCCGAAACTCCTGTGGCTAAGGTCGTTTGATTGTTCAGATGTTGAAAGTAAGTTGTGAATACATGTAAGTTCTCAAGAAAGTAGGGATACACATTGATATGCCAATCTTTTACATAGATATGTATCAGACAGTTATTAGCCACAGATTGTAGGTCTTTGTTCTTCTTGGCCTTTTGTCATATTATAGTCTATAATATAATTATGTGATATGTTTCATCATTAAAAACAGGATTTAGGTCATGATGTGATGGGTTTGTCAGCACGTAATGCAGTTATACAGCCATGTAATAAATAGGACAAGAGTGCAGCATCAGTACTTAACCATATTATTCATTGGTTTCTTACTACTAGTTATTCTCTATACAGACATAATACTATATTTTGTTTTGTAATGTACATTCTAACTTGAGTGAAATAAACCTTCCACAAGTAAATCAGTGAGTTTACTCTGTGTAGCTAAAATTTTCCAGAATTTTCCAAAAAATTCCTGAAATTTGAAAATTTTCCAAAATTTTCCAAAATTTTTCCAATATTTCTAAAAATTTTCCAAAATTTTCCAGGCTAGGTAGGGCCACTGGGAGCGTGGCAGCTCCTGGCTGGGGCCCGAGTGCCGCTGTACCTGGGAGAACTTTGAGCACTAGCGCCCTTGAGGGCCCCTGAAGCGCCACCGCCACTGAGAGGGCCCTGGGTGCATCCACTGTCCCTGAGAAGCCCTGGGAGCGCCAGATATCCCTTTGGAGACCCACTGAGAGCCAGCTGCTCATGGATGCCCCTAGAGTGCCACTGGCCCTTAGAGAGCCCATGGAGGTGCCACGGCATGCCGCCATCCCAGGAGTGCCCTGGGAGTACTCCTAGGGGCGCAACTGCCCCAGCAGGCCCTTGGGGTTGCCACCATCTCTGTCAGACTCCTGGGAGCGCCACCGACCCTGACAGGGACCCTGGGGGTGCAGCACCCCTGGCAGGGCTCCTGGGGCGCCAGTGCCCCTGGTCAATGCCCCTAGGGGTGCCAACGTCCCTATGAGGGCTGTGGAGGCACTGCCCTGAATGGGAACGTCCCTGGGAGCACCGCTGTCCCTGGTAGAGCCCCTGGGGTCAGCACCAATAACGGTCTTGGGTGCCAACACCCCTGGGAAGACCACAGGGGGGGATGACGCCGGTCCATGCCAGGGCCCCTGGGGCGCCACCGCCCTTAAGAGGGCTGGTCAGGTAGCACCGCCCTGGCACGTCCCCTGAGCCCCATGGTCCCTTGAGGGCCCCTGAAGGCTTCTCCCGCCTGGCAGGACTCCTGAAGCCCCACTGCCTCGGATGGCTCCTTGGCGGCAATCCACCAAGGACCCCACGATTCTCAGGGGCTCTGGCATGCTTGTTCGTTGTCATATATATTACCTACTTAAAGAAGTCACTTACTTAACTATGATTGTGGGCTATTCTATTAACCCAGTAAATTACAGCCAATAGGAGAAGAGCACAACACCCTAACTTATGTTTTCTGTTGGATATTATTCTCTTTGCCTCTTCAGAACATGGCGATACTGGAAATGTGACGGTAGTGTATTTATTTAACGTTGCATCATATCCCAGAGTTCTAAATAGCGAGAAACTACTGCACCCAGGGACCCTACTTCTGTCTCGGATAGACCCTGGGGTCCTAGCGACTTGGATGAGCCCTGGAGGCCACTATCCCTGGATAATCCCCTGGGGCGCCGCAGCCTTGGTAGGGCCCTGGGAATGTGGCAGCCTGGCTGGGCCCGAATGCGTTTGATAATTTATTTTCGGAAAATTTGGTTATCTAACTAACTTTCCCGGAAAGTAGATATGCTCTATGTTTTGTGATACAAATTTCCGTTTTCTATGATAATCTACTTCGCAAAATTAGGTAATATTTCCCAAAATTCGAAAATCTATTCCCCCGAAAATCGATAATCTACTTTTCCCGAAAAGTAGAAAATCTATCTACTTTTTCGAAAGTAGATAACCAACTTTCCGGAAAGTAGATATTTCTATTTTTTATGATACAAATTTCCTGTTTTGCGATAATCTATTTTCGGCAACTTGGTTATCTTTAAATCCAACTCTCGGAAAGTAGATATTTCTATTTTTTTATGATACAAATTTCGTTTCTTTATGATAATCTATTTTCAAAAGTTGTTTATCTAACCAACTTTGCGAAAGTAGATATTTCCCATTTTATGATACAAATTTCCTGTTTCGCGAGTAATCTATTTTCGGGAAAGTTGTTTATCTAACCAACTTTCGCGTGAAAGTAGATATTTCCCATTTTTTTATGATACAATTTCCTGTTTCTATGATAATCTATTTTCGGCAAATTTTTGGTTATCTTAACCAACTTTCCTGGAAAGTAGATATTTCCCCATTTTTTTATGATACAAATTTCCTGTTTTCTATGATAATCTATTTTCGGGAAAGTTGTTTATCTAACCAACTTTCAAGTAGATATTTCATTTCGCGATAAAAATTTCCTGTTTTCATGATAACGTCTATTTTCGGCAAATTTAAGTTATCTAACCAACTTTCCGAGTGATATTTCCCCATTTTTATGATACAAATTTCCTGCTTTCTATGATAATCTATTTTCGTAAATTTGGTTATCTAAATCAACTATTTTGCGAAGTAGATTATCATAGAAAACGGGAAATTTGTATCATAAAAATGGAAATATCTACTTTCCGAAAGTTGGTTATCTACTTTTCCCGAAAAAGTAGATAGATTTTCACTTTCGAAAGTAGATTATCGACTTTTCAGAGATTTTTGAATTTTTAAAGTATTATCATTTTTACGTTTGAAGTAGATTATCATAGAAAACGGGAAATTTGTATCACAGAAAATGGGAAACATCTACTTTCGAAAGTTATTTAATTTCCTGTTTCCATGATAATCTACTTCGGAAAATTAGTTAATATTTCCCAAAGTCGATAATCTACTTCCTGAAAGTCGATAATTATTTTCCCGGAAAGTAGATAATCTACTTTTCGGGAAAGTAGATAACCAACTTTCCGGAAAGTAGATATTATTCCATTTTCTGATGCAAATTTCCGTTTTCTATGATAATCTACTTTTGGCAAAATTAGGTATATTCCCAAAGTCGATAATCTACTTCGAAAGTCGATAATCTACTTTCCGAAAGTAGATAATCTGATTTTCGGAAAGTAGATAACCAACTTTCCCGGAAAGTAGATATTTTCCCATTTTCTATGGTGCAAATTTCCGTTTTCGATAATCTACTTTGAAAAATTTGAATATTTCCCCGTCGATAATCTTCTCTAAAAGTCGATAATCTACTTTCCCGAAAGTAGATAATCATTTTTCGGAAAGTAGATAACCAACTTTCCGGAAAGTAGATATTTTCCCATTTTCTATGGTGCAAATTTCCCGTTTTCTATGATAATCTACTTTGCAAAATTGGTAATATTTCCCAAAAGTCGATAATCTACTTCCTCGAAAAGTCGATAATCTACTTTCCCGAAAGTAGATAATCTACTTTTCGGGAAAGTAGATAACCAACTTTCCCGGAAAGTAGATATTTTCCCCATTTTCTATGGTGCAAATTCCCGTTTTCTATGATAATCTACTTTGCAAAATTTGGTAATATTTCCCCAAAGTCGATAATCTACTCCGAAAAGTCGATAATCTACTTCTGAAGTAGATAATCTACTTTTCGGGAAAGTAGATAACCAACTTTCCCGGAAAGTAGATATTTTCCCATTTCTATGATGCAAATTTCGTTTTCTATGATAAGTAGAAACCAACTTTCAGAAAGTAGATATTTTCCCATTTTCTATGGTGCAAATTTCCCGTTTTCTATGATAATCTACTTTGCAAAATTTGGAATATTTCCCAAAGTCGATAATCTACTTCCTCGAAAAGTCGATAATCTACTTTCCCGAAAGTAGATAATCTACTTTTCGGGAAAGTAGATAAACAACTTCCGGAAAGTAGATATTTTCCCATTTTCTATGATGCAAATTTCCCGTTTTCTATGATAAGTAGATAACCAACTTTCTCAGAAAGTAGATATTTCCCATTTTCTGTGATACAGATTTCCCGTTTTCTATGATAATCTACTTCGGAAAATTAGGTAATATTTCCCCAAAAGTCGATAATCTACTTCCCTGAAAAGTCGATAATCTACTTTCCCGAAAAGTAGATAATCTACTTTTCGGGAAAGTAGATAACCAACTTTCCCGGAAAGTAGATATTTTCCCATTTTCTATGGTGCAAATTTCCCGTTTTCTATGATAAGTAGAAAACCAACTTTCTCAGAAAGTAGATATTTCCCATTTTCTGTGATACAAATTTCCCGTTTTCTATGATAATCTACTTTGCAAAATTTGGTAATATTTCCCCAAAAGTCGATAATCTACTTCCCCGAAAAGTAGATAACCAACTTTCCCGGAAAGTAGATATTTCCCAGGTGTATGCTGATAACCACAAGGAAAGAAGAAAACACTTAGTTCCCAAGAGATTTCGTGTAATTCACATCTTCAGGGGTGAGTACAGACTAAGGTGAAATACTTGAAAAGGCTAATATATACAGTAGAGGAGAGTGAGATCAAGTCCCTAGGGGACAATAGGCGTCCACAATGGTCTGGTCATTCGGCAGTGACCCTAATCTTCATAAGCACAGCAGCTGTCTGTAGTCAGGTCATAGGGGTAAGATGACCCAACCTTCTCACCTGGTTACAAATTTTCTTAATTACATACTTATCCAGTTTGTACATACCATTATTCAAATTCATGTTGACGAATTCGGAATGTTTAATGAGACTGGATTCTATAGTGTTCCTCCTACTGACAATTGAATAACAAGGTAATATATATATATATATATATATATATATATATATATATATATATAT